CATTCCAATTCCAACACAAAGGAAAAATGGGTTCTTGCTTTAGCAAATGCAGACCCAAGAAGTATTCCTTTGAAGAAAAAGAAGAAGAAGAAGAAGAATTTGAGCATACTCAAGATAAGATTATCATCTCACAAATCCCAAAAAATCCCCTTCCCATCTCAAACAAAGTTTCCCCCTTTCCTCTTTCGCCTGTCACTACCACTTCTTCTTGCTTCTCCTCTGCATCTGCTCCTTCCTACACCAGCACTACTAGTAATAGTACCTCTGTTAGTTCATGCTCATCCTCTGTCTTGAGCTCCAAAGACAGGTCCTTTTCCAATGAGTTCTTGTGGGCATGTGTCAAGGAAAACCCGCACATAATCCGCATCAATTCAATCAAGGAAGCTGCACTTGTATCAGCTTCAAGCAAACCTCATGCTCAAAAGTTAGAATCTCCATCCAAACCAGTAGCTGTCCTGAAAAAAGAGAAGGGTTTTAGCCCGCACAAGAGAGGGAGGTCGAGTTCCCCAATTGCTCTACCTCGTCAGAAGAGCTTCAGAAAGGAGCCTGAGGTGCTTAATCCTGGGTATTCATCTCTGCCGAGCAGAACCCTGAAGTCACCTTCTCCTAGTAGGAGATTCAGTGGAGAATTTGGTAGGGGAATTTCGTCGAACACATCAATGGCAAATTGCTCAAAGCGTTTTCGTGGTAGAAAGGTTACTCCAGTTAATCCCGTTTCTTCCTCCTCTCCGAGAAACGAGAATTTCCATCCGGTAAGTCCGATCAGTAGTTCAAGTGAGCAGCTGCGGCCATGTTTAAGAAACAGGGAGACTTGCATTCACCGGATTACCTCCAAGATCGATGAAATTGCCGTGGCAGCAGCGCTGACGGAGCAAGACGGAGATACTGCCATGGAGGACATTGACAATCCTCTTATCTCCTTAGATTGTTTTATTTTTATCTAAAAAATGGAGTGTGCATTATTTTTGAACTGAACATCATAATATTGTTTGATAATAGCATTTTTTTTATTCTTTAAAATTTCTATTTTTTTCTTTGGATTTATAATTAGGTTCAAAAAATCAAATATATTGATTTGTATTTGTAAACATTGATTTTATTTTAATCGTCTGTTGGTTTATATTCTTTCCATGTGGGCTGTTGAAACTGTCCTCACGCTTACAATGCAGGGAAAACTAGTTCTTTACTAATTTGAATTATACTTAACAATTATCTGAGTGGTGGTAATATCTTTTCTCAGTAAAAATAAAACATTTTGAGTTTGAGTTCAAGTACTATAGCACGCCAAAGATGTGTAGACGGATGAAAGAGAATTGTTTGTCAATTGTGCAATTTAAAATAAATAAAGAAGATTGGATTATGAATTTGTGTTTGGGTTTGGGAATGCTTTGATCACTGGGTGTTTGATTATTTGTCTCTGTGGGTTTTATGTTAGCACTTTGGAGGATACAACTGTCTTGAACCCTTCTGGCCTTTTTTTTTTTCTGTGGGTATTCAGGATGGTATGTGTTTGCCTTTGTACCATATTTTTCTTCTGGGAAATAAATAGTCAAAATAGGTTACCACACATTTGGGGGACTTGGTCTCCAGGAGAACGGAATTACTCACCCACTTTAGCTGGGACAGGGACTGGGTTTGGGAGTATGCTCAATGCTCATTACCTGTGAACTTGGTTGGTAGTGGTACTCTGAACAAAGCTGCGCATCAGGTTCAGTAATCCTTTCAATAAATAAACTCAACATTTACGTTATTGCATTGCATCACTGTTGAAATGTTCAAATCAAATGTAAGCTCTAAGAGACAGTTGAACATTTCTAATTTTTACAAACCCACTAGTACAGAAGTAAGGGCTTCTGTGTTTTTAAAAAACAATCAACAGTTGACTTTTTCCCAATCGAAAATTTGAATATCAAGATGTTCTTCTTTTTATTAGCTAATGGTGGGTACTATTTTTTTATCTGATAGAAGTCTGGCTGAGTCGTGAACTCATAATATGCATCCGTATATACATTGCTGTGGTCCGCGGAAAAGGTTTTTCATGTTAGTTAAGCACTACATGGTAGGACTACCTACTTAAAAATTTTGAGCACAATTTAGGATTAAGAGTTTTCAACAGAAGTTTATATATAGTTGCTTCAGTGTCATGCCACAGCAAGACATTAATAGAATACTTTCATATTGAGATCCAATATTGAATTTGTCTTTCACAAGTCTATGAATAAAAGAACTACCTTTCTGAAGTTCTTTGTTCTATGAACTTGAATCTGGATTTTTGAGGAAGCTCAATCCAAAGAAAGCAGGAAGCAGCAGCCATGGGGATTCATTAAAGGTTTTGGCTGGTCATCCTTATTACAACACCATTAGCAGCAATTGTAGCATAACCAGCTCCTATTGCAAAACCTGGTTGTCAAGATAAGTGTGGTAATGTAAGTATCCCATATCCATTCGGTACAACAGAAGAGTGTTACTAAAATGAAAATTTTATCATAACTTGCGATGACATTTTTGATCCCCCATTAGCATTTTTAGCTAATAGTACAATTAATGTCACCAACATAGATCCTGAAGGGAAGCTACACATAACGCAATTTATAGCCCATGATTGCTATGATAAGTCTGGGGCATCGACTTACAGGATTTGCAATTCACAATGGGAGATGCTTACTTGGTTTGAGGAATAATGATTCATCCAGATGAAAGAAACTGTCGCATAACTCTATACCATAAACAAAAGTTTCTTGGTGATTGGTTGATACCCATCTAAGTTAGTGCCAGTCATAAAGCCAATAAAAACAATGGTGGAATGGAGGAGATCACATTCTTGTACATTGGTTTCACTTCCTAATTTTCAATATATTGGCCTTGGTATGTACTTAATACTTCTACCGTTAAAAGGCAAATGGAGTATGAAAAATGTTGAGAATATACAACTCCAGTGACTTACAAATCTTTGACATTATAAATAAATCCTTATATTTATTTATTATAATCTTTAACAGAGAGGTGGCTCATGTACAATTATATAAACATGGTTTTTAAGCGAAAATTTCATTAGTTAAAAATTTAAGTTTTCATATTAAGATAACGTAAATTTAAATAATCAAATAAGAGAGAATGAAATTTCTAAAAGAGATATTTAAAACAAAAAGAAGAGTTATCTTATATTTTATAATCTATTATTTTATA